ACAACAGCATGTTTTCTTCCTTCCTACTTTACCCATTACAGTTTTGGCAAGCTGTTTATGAATTTCCACTTGGATTGAGTCCTAGATTTCTGTAATTATTTGATTGCATACTATAGACACAGCATGGGAATCTCTTCTGCCCAAGCTAAAAGACAAATCCTGCCTTTAATAGGTTTTTTCCTGCCTCTGCCCATCTTTTTTCATTGGCATTATTTTGTTGCTGCCATCTTTTTACAGAACAAATAAGATTTCTTGTGCCTCTGACATGAGATTATCTTCTTTGACTTCCAGAGATTGTACAAAATGTACAGTATTTCCAATCATCAGCCTCTGATTCCTCTAAATGGCAATGCCAGATACTAGATCTGTGATCTTTTCCACCAAATATTTGTGCTCCCCCTTTTCCTTACTTTTCTGGGCATTTAATTTCACATACATTTTCTCTCATATACACAATTATATATATAGTTCATACAGTTTTATCTGCTTTCACACAATGATATATATTTCACATAGTCCTATTTATTAAGCAATTCATATTTATTTTTTCACACAATTATAATATTTCCATATGTAATGTATATTTGACACAGAATGTATCTTTCAAAAAACAGCTTTGATTCTCTCTATTAACACAGAGAGTGTGTCCATGAAAGCAGTAGTTGCAGAATCAAATGGGAGAAGAAACCGTTTGAAAAGCAAATGTACATTCTAGTCAATAATGTTTTTGCCTTCTCACTGCAGGTGCAGGTAATATAAAAAGCTATTTGACGCTGCAATCTTTTACACATTTACTGGAGAGTTAATACCACTGAGGACAGTGAAACATACGACCTCATAGACACAGGCAGAAATGCAGTGCCTGGATGCTTCTAAATTAATATTTCAAAGTAATACAATTTCTTCAGCCATTTCTTATTTCAATTCTACATTGTATGCATGATTGATTTAAGAATTACCATCATTATATTGGTTCCTGACATTACCTGTCTCTTTGTTTTGACCATAGTCAAATGTGTCTTGTGGTCATGTTCTGCACAACATTTATTCCCTTCCTCATTCAACTCCAGATGTGGCTCTAGAATGACCTATGACAGATATTGTATATGCTGTCTCGTCACTTCAGACTTATGCCAACTCTATGAATTAATGACTTGTAGAAAGTCCTGCCATTAACAGCCCTGCTCTGGTCTTACAAAGTCAAGACAATAACTTCATTGAGCCAATGCACCTCATGTTATGTCTCCTTTTGTTTTCAGGGTTGCCTGGCATTACTGTGCTGTCTATCAGGCAAAAACAAAATAAAAATAAAAACGCAACAACAAAACATTGTGGCACATTAAAGATTTATATTTCAATGTGAGCTTTAATGGATAAAATGTACTTCCTCAGATATAAGAGTGAGATTACACCATAAATGTTTATACATGTATATATGAAAACAATATAGAAACAGTGGTTGGTTGGTTCATAAGTTGCAAATTGTGTGAGTCAATGTAGTATTTAACAGCAGTGATGACTTCTGTTTGATATTCAGATCTTTTCCACTGACAGTTTTGTTCTGCAAAAGGGTGTAGGAACCCCTGGCATAGAACAACAATAGCAGAAATATCATGATTGTCCATTATACTAAGGAGACTGGAATTTTACAGCTGATAATGACTTTTAAGATTCCTATTTGATATTCAGTTCCTTTCTGGGAAGTTTTGTAACAGAGTCAATGGTGGGCAAATACCCCAGGTAATAGAGGACAGCAAGAACAACGTAGTAATGAGCGAAGACTCCCTGGTTACCTTTGAAACCTTTAAGGTAGATTTGGTAAGGAGGGAAACATAGCTCTGAGATACAGCAGATATAGTACAGTTTTCTAGTGAGCCTTACCTTCTTATTTTATGTCTGAAGTACAACAGCCTCAGTGAAGTCATTTTAGTGTCTAATGAGAATTCAGGCTTCATTTGGTTGAGAGCCCATTTATTTGCCCTTCTGATGTTCTTAGAATAAAGCTTTTCTCCAGCACCAGAGTTCAAATTAATCAATCTGTTTCCTGTCGGGGTTCCCCCCCCCCATTGTTCAGCTTTTGCATCCCAAACATGATAAAGTTATGTAATTCTTCTATAATAATAATTTCTATCTTCTTAGTGTTCTATGGTGACCTTTTTTTTTCATCAGTAGTCATTTCAAGTCATTGCTACTTTCTGCAACTAATGTGATTTTGTATGTGTATCTTAAATTACTGATGTTTCTTCACCAGTTTTCTCTCCTCCTTCATCTGAACCAAATCCACCTTTATTTTGGGTATGTTGTTCATGTAGATTGAAAAAATTAGAGAACTAAAATGCACTTTGTCTGACAGTTTTGCCAATTGGAAACCATTCTGTTTCTCCATATTGTGTCATAATAATTTATGTATCAGGACAATCAGATGTAACAGCACACCAAGGCCTTTTAGAACAGCTCACAGCTTTTCATTAACTAAAGTCAAAAATTTTCCTATAATCCATAAAGTGTAGGCTGATTTTCTTCTGAAATTATCAAATATGCTTCAGTAGCCAATGTGATCTCTAGTGCCTCTTCCTTTTCTGAATCTAGCTTGAACATTTGCCATTTCTCATTCCATGTATGATAAAAGAGAATGGTTTGATATTAATAGACTATTAAGTTTTATTAAGTTTATAAAAGACATTTGTATATAAGTCTTTATAAAAGACTTAATATGAACATCTGTTTGCCTGTATCATTAAACTTTCCTAATGGGTGGTGGCTATTGTGACTGTCATGAGAAGTATCCATTCTTACACATTTACCACACCACTACCACCATCTATTTCTCTCTCTCTTCTCTTTCTCAACGTAATCCTCTGACTCCAGTTGTGCTAAATGGGGTTCCAGGTGTTGGATCTAGATTATCAGGCATTTGTTGGGAGGAGGATGGAATTCCATATAATTCCATATAATGAACTGCATTTTGATACATTTGTAGATGCCTTTTGACTGCATATTGGTTTCAGTGTACTGATTTATTTACTTAAAAGGCAGTAAGATGGATTGTTATGCATTACTGCTTTGACTAGATTTTTAGTACTACTTGCATTTTCCATTTCTCAGAGTGGCATTTGTTTTCTTCTTTTTAATATTTGTATACTTTTCTTCTCAGGTTTAATATTGCTTTTTATGTATGTAAGCTGTCTCTTTATGGTTTGATATTAATAGAATGGTTTGATATTAATAGACTATTAAGTTTTATTAAGTTTATAAAAGACATTTGTATATAAGTCTTTATAAAAGACTTAATATGAACATCTGTTTGCCTGTATCATTAAACTTTCCTAATGGGTGGTGGCTATTGTGACTGTCATGAGAAGTATCCATTCTTACACATTTACTACACCGCTACCACCAAAAGTTGAAAAAGGTATGCAGGCATTTAATTTGCATTCACGTACCACAATGTAATAATAAAATGCCGCATTAACTATACTGCTACTCCATGTTTCTCCAGTAACTACAGTGGGGTCTTGACTTGAGAACTTAATCCGTATTGGAAGGTGGTTCTCAAGTCAAAATGTTCTCAAGTCAAATCTGCATTTCCCATAGGAATGCATTGAAAACCATTTGATCCGTATCTGCTCTTTTCCGTCCATAGAAACTAATGGGAAGCTGCTATTCCGCCTTCGACCACTACAGGGGGATATTTTGTTTCTTTTTTTCTTAGGTCAAGAAAGGTTCAGGGAAGGCAGGGAAAATACAGTCCAGGCAGTACAAGTACCAGGCAGTCTGAAGACTGTCTCCCAATCCACTCTCTAAACGCTGGGAGGAGTGAGGAAGCAGACAGGCACCCTTTTCACTGGCCAACAGTTAACTGAAAGTTCACATTTTGCACTTTCCCTGCCTCCCACATGGTTTTTTTTCAGTTCTTAACTCAAATCTAAGTACTTAAGTCAAGTCAATATTTTCCTATGAGAGTGGTTCTTAAGTCAAAATGTTCTTAACTCAAGCCGTTCTTAAGTCAAGACCCCACTGCTATCTGGACAAAAGGATCTCCAATGTGTCCTCTCCTAGGAATGTAAATCTTTGGTAAACTACAACATTTCTCCCTCACTTCGAGTGAGATATTTTCTCTTTATTGCAACTAGAGAGTTAATGTTTCTGATCATAATGTATGCATAACTAGTACAACCTGTGCAAAACTATGACAGCTGCTGCCTTGTTGCATGGACTTTAAAAAGCTAAAAGCATTAAATGTGTTGTTTTTTCTTTTTGACCAATGAGCCAGTCCTTCTGTGGTTGCAGTGTGTGTGTCTGAACGTGTGTGTTTCACTTCAGGAAGGAAGAAGACTCTAATTCTTCACTGAGATGTTTCCCTCCAAATTGCAGAAATCTGGAGAAAAACATATTTGTCTCTTGCCTCCAGAGATGAGGAATCTCATGGGGCTTGAAAATCCAACCTTGATATATATTGCCATGTAAAGACAGCCTAAACAAACAAGGATGGGGATTTTAGCAAGTATTCTTGACACTGCTAAATGTTCCAGTACACTTTGCTCAAGCTGGGTCAAAGGTGGGAAGAATCTTGCCATCCTTCAACTGGCTGTCTTCAGGCTGATGTCCCCCTACCAAACGAAACTCATAGGAGGAAGTAGCTCTTTCTCTGAAAAATCCTTATCACTGAGATGTTGGCAAGAAAGTAATCATCACCATACAGCAACAAGGGCAGCATCCAATGTTGATGTTTTGAAATTGTACAAGTCCAAGAGGCAACAATACATGTGTTGCCTTGGCATCAACTGTAGCAAAACTGACAGCCGAGTCTTCTTTGGACAGAGACTAAGAGTTCCTTGGTCAAGGCATATTCTCCATCTGCATATTGGCTGTACTCATCATGTAAAGCTTTGCATAGATAATGCTAGCTGGGAAAACAAGTGGCAACTTCTCACGGATGGGTATAAACTAACTCTTTCTCTCTCCTTTTGTTCCCCCTGCAGTTCTTATATGCCACCTCCATGAAGTCTGAAAACCAAACAGAATTCCATTTCCACCCCTTCTCAACGCTGCCTGAGATACAGTTGGCCATCTTCCTGCTCCTTCTCTTGCTCTACGTACTCAGTCTCTGCGGGAACGGTGCTGTGCTGCTTATTGTGCAGATTGACCATTCTCTTCATAGCCCCATGTTTTTTTTCTTAGGCAACCTCTCTGCTCTGGAGATCTGCTACTCTTCTGCCATTGCCCCACTGGCCTTGGTCAATCTCCTCTCCCAGAAAAATGCCACCATCTCCATAAGCGGCTGTGGAACGCAGATGTTCTTCTTTATTTTCCTAGGAGGAGCAGACTGTGTCCTGCTGGCATTCATGGCGTATGATCGCTATGTGGCCATTTGCCATCCATTGCATTACAAACTCATCATGAGCCAAAGAGTCTGTGGAAGCCTGGCTGCTGCATCCTTTACATTGGGATTCTTGTTGTCCCTACAGCTGACCATTCTTATTTTCCGCCTTCCTTTCTGTGGCAACAATGAAATCAATCACTTCTTCTGTGATATTCCAGCCATCCTGAGGTTGGCTTGTGGTGACACTCATGTCCACCAGGTGTACGTCTTCATTTGTAGTGTCCTAGTCCTGACGGTACCCTTCCTTCTTATCTGTATCTCCTATGCCTTCATCCTGGTGGCTGTTTTGGAAATTCACTCTTCCAAAAGCCAGCAACGAGCCTTTTCCACTTGCTGTTCCCACCTGATGGTTGTCCTCTTGCAGTATGGTTGTTGCAGTTTCATTTATCTTCGCCCCAACTCCATCTACTCACCAGAGGAAGGGCGGGTGATGTCTGTGATCTACACCTTCGTTACTCCTTTGCTGAACCCTATGATTTATAGCATAAGAAACAGGGAACTGAGGGAAGCACTCCACAGAGCCTTGAGAAGAAGAGCGCTTTCCCAGGAAAAATGATCAAGAGGCAGGCCTCATATTGGTGCTGATTCATGTCATTCAGAGCACAGATTGCCATCATGTGATCCACAGCCACCATGATAATATGTGTAGCTTTTTGGCAACCTCACGAGATCCAAAACTAAATGGAGGGATACGCGAGTGTGAAAGAAGCCAAGAGCTGGATCCAGAACTAGGTTTGGGCTGATAGAACAGCAGCAAAGGGGGCAGGGAGCAATATCACTGCAGAACCATTGTGATGGGTATATTGTAAGTTTGT